GCGGCGGTAATTCAAAACTTTCCGAGTTGTTGGCACAAACCCATCGAGGGTTCAGGAGCAAACCTCAGTGCGGGGAAGGAAACGAAACAAATTCTGTCAGAGTAAATATGGTTTAATAAATGAATTAGCTTCATAAATAATGGCTGTAATGACATTTTAGGGGACAATAAGCCAAAGCGTTGTCAGGAAATAGTTGATGTATGAGTTTCATGCCTCAGCGGTTCCTCAAAATGAATAGGCTCGGGAAGATAGCAGGGGCTTCCAACCAGCCTATTTTCTCGAATTATCTACTTGTTGTCAATTTGCACAGTGGAATTACACATGCAAATTGAACTGCCTGCACAAACACCACTTGGAGATGATAAAAACAAATTAACAAAGGCTATAGAAGGAGGATTTATTTCACCGGCTAACCCAGGTCAAGCAATACATGTATTTTACGATTGTGTGTACCCAATTTTGGTGTAATTATATCAGCAAATTATTCTTTGTAATCTTATTATTTTCCCCTAACCTTCTTCTTACACACATAATTAACTTCCCTGGCATCCTCACAAAACCAGACTTGCTTCTGTGTCGGCAGTTTAATCTGATTTGCGGTTAGTTTTCATCACCTCTCGTTGGAGAAAAACTCAGAGGAAGGTGAGAAGCGAGCAGTTTAGTAGAAGAGCAGATGAATTCTACAGCCGTGGTGTTAAAACATATATAATCACCTCTTCACATCATCCCTCGTACCGGGGAGGAAATTAAGAGTCCCCGGACCTCCGCGTTTGCTATTAGATATCTCATTTACTTTGTACACACAGTGCTAATCTCCTCTAATGAATTCTGCCACACCAAACCAGATCGAGATGACTAAAAATTATTACCACTTCCGCAGATATGCCTTTCCTCATTTGAGGCTCAATTTGGCTGGCTGGCAAAAAACAGTCTGTCACAGTAAGATACTAATAATTAGGGTTTTAAGATGATTAGTTTATCTCTGTGCTCTTACAGTCCTGCCTCTTATCCACCGTGGCCAAAACTTAATAAGAGGCTCTAAGTTTTTAAAAAGCCAACTCCAAATTACCAAGAAATGACAGAAATAATGAACTGGAGCACACGCCAAAGACAGAGACAGAGAGAGAGAGAGAGAGAGAGAGACGGGTGGCGAGGAAGCTGAGAGACGTTAATTCAAATGTTAGCTGGAGCACAAAGCCTTGAAATCAATAAGAGCATTATTTAAACCTGGAAGGGCAGAACTGTTTTGTTTTAACTGAACTCTGCGGCTTGCGTTGACGGCCACGGATTTGTCATGAGTGTAATTAAAGCGGCAGTAACGCTGAGTGAGTGGCAGCGGTTAATGGCGGTGTGTCTCGGAGGGGGCGGGACGTTTCACATGTTCCAGATTACCGTCAACAAACTAAGTTTGATGAACGGAGACGGAAAATCTCTCTGATTGGAAGAGGAGAGCAACGTTGTGTGCTTTTATACCAAAACTTTTGTAGAGTGTTGCCTCTTAGTGAGAAGGTTGCAGGTTCAACTCCCTGCCTGGGACCTGTCTTGGTGTCATCCTCTTTCAGGGATGAAGATGTTCTCATCCTTGATAGAGAGGAACGTTGGTTTGAGAGAGGAGTAAAGGAAGCCATCTTTGTGAAGAAAAACGTCCACAGAGGTGGAGGCCTTCGTGCCAGTTGTCCTCCTCCTACAACGCTGTTATTGCAAGTATGACTCCGCCCCCTGTGAGCAAAAGGTGTGAATCAGGGCCCCAATGATACCAACACAAAGAGGGARAKAGRGACAAAAACAAGGGGACGTTGAACCCCCGCTTGCATTCACTACATACACAAAACACGACACGGGTCAGATGATGGGGCACATGATCTTCTATGAACAATAGAGCTAATCAAGCCTATTGTTAGTCTATGGCCCTCTTCTGCATGTGACCAACCTGTTTGTCCATGTGGAGGCAGAGTTCACCTGAAACTCTTCAGACTAGAGATGGGATAAATGGCTCTTTGAAGGGATCCGGATCTTGGGGAGCCATTTGTTTCATAGACCCGTTCAAAAGAGCCATTCGATTTTGAACGTATTACATCATCACGTAGGGAAACACGTTATCACGTAGCCGTACGTAATGACGTCATCCCGTCACGTGGGTGGAACCATGTGTTTGTCAAGCGGAAACCCCCCTCCCCTTTTCATCATGAGCTGCTGTACTCCACATCTCTGCCTGTTTTCCATGAAAAATCAAAGCAGGAGCGATTCAAGTATGAAAAAATTAAAAATTATATGAGGAATAAAAGAAATAAAACTACAAATGTCTCATTACTGCCCGCGATTCGGCTCCTATCGTTCGTTGTAAAGAGCTGTTCAAAAGATTCGGATCGTTCTCGAACGTCACATCTCTACTTCAGACTGAAGAAGCCTCTTGGAGGAGAGACGAAACGTTTCACTAAAGAAGAAACAGACAGTCCAGAGGACCTACTTATTTTCTTCTTTTTGATGTCTTGGTGGAGTTTACATTTTACATGTACATTACATGTCCCCCAATGGGGTTTTGTGTTCTGGTTTCCTCTCACAGACCAAAACCATGCATGCTAGATTAAGTCTAACTTGTCCTTTGGTGTGCGTGACACTTTTGTCTCGTTTGTCTTGATGATGTATCCTATACATACATCGACAGGGGGAAATTGTTAGATATTTTGCTGTCACAGCAGCCTGATATGATTATCACATGACAGGACTAACCCTGTTCATGCCAACAATAATAATAATAAGCTCACTTCTTTAACTGGGTTTGTCCACGGCTCTATTGTGATGCAGTTACACACATGCCACAATACTGACCCACACATTCGGAAAACTACTGATACACCGAGGATGTGCCCGAATGGGAGGGGCCAAGAGGAGATAAAACTTTAGTGAAGACAAAAGAAGGGGTCTTTCCACGTGTAGATCGCAGCCACAAGGGAAGTCTCATCGCTGTTACTCTGTACTGATTCTCTGAACATTTTAAATAAACTGGTAAAACTTATTTAACTCGTGTGTTTTTAATATTTCTTCTCCACTGGGATCAAAGATCTGTGGAAGCTTCCACCCCGACGGGAGGGGAGAAAAGATGGACTAGAGACCTGTACAGGTGTCCCACAGCCGAAAGACACCAATTTCTTCTGACCGAGAGAAACGAGTAAAGAAAACTGATGAATGTATCCATTACGAATCTGTACTATTAGTAGAAGTAGATGTGGTAGTAGTAGTAGTATTAGTGACACGTAGTACTTTTCAGTGTTAAAACGCTGTTTCTATGCAGGAAACACCAGGTAGAGCTCAGAGTTCAGAAGAAGCTGGCAAAATTCGCAGAGAAAAACCTTAATTTCACTGCATTTTCTCTGGCTACTTTTGCCGCGACCCAGCTGTACTGGGAAGTGGGATTTTCCCCACTTACAAGTCGTAAATTTAAACTGGAACAACCCTCTAGTGGGAATTCCCAGTTGGAAAGTGGGAGAGTTTAGTATTTCAATTTGGCAGCTACTCACCGCAACTCAACAGAGAGTAAAACTCTCTGACTTTTACTTTAATAGTATTTCAGTCAGTCGTACACGTAGTACTTTTCGGTGTTTATAAGAGGATGTATTAAAACGCTGTTCTATGCAGGAAATACCAGATAGAGCCTCAGTGTATGTTAGCAGGGCTCACGAAAGTGACAGTTTAGGTTTAGTTGAAGTTAAACGTTGGCCCTTGGTGAAAGAGTTTGACACTTATGTAGAAGTAGAAGGAACAATAATAATAGTCGTAGACGTGGTCGTGACAATTTTAGTTATAGTAGTATTTGTAAAAATGAGCACATGGGTGCAGAGTAGCACTAAAACGACAATGCCTTAACTGAAGAAGTTGTTACAAAATGGCTGACGTGTATCAAAGCCCCAACTCCTATTTTACATTTAAACTTCAAACTTAAACACTGATTACCTAAATATCAAACTGTTTTCTATAACATCACAGTATTTAGGTGTCGACCCAGGAATGTACAATGAGAGAAGTGGCTGCAGCTGTGTCAGGTGGGCCAGAGAGCAGGTGTAGTTGGGCGTGGCTGCATGACTGAAATAAACAGACAAAAAAGGAAACTAAAACCCACAAAAAACATAAAATGACTGCCAAAAACAAATTTAAAAACACAGATTCTGACATTTAACTAACTAACAAGCTGCCTTAGGCAACTATTTTAGCATCTTACCAAGAAAAAGTTTTTTGTTTTTTCCATTTAAAGTCTGAATTTGAATTATTTTAAGAGTGATAATAAAATGATTTGCTGAAAAATACATTTAGTCCTGCTAATGCTGCTCAACAATTGACCCTTTACCATAAAACATGGCTGTTATGGCTCTAACTCTTTATATTACATTTATATGGCACACAAAATCCAGGCTATAATTTATGTATATTACGGGCCTCGCAATAAGATGCAACCAAAAGGGGACCTAATGTGAATGAGTGTGAAAGAGCAAATTAAGAGTAGATGCCTGTGCCAGTGCCAAGGGCTATACAAGATTTGCATGCTAATCATTCTAATAATAATATAATGCCCTGAGCACTTTCAGCAAATTGGGAACCACTGGTCATAGAAGGGAGCTTATCTCCAGCAGAACACGACACAAATATAGGTTAACATTTGAACGGTTCCTGGTAATTCAGACCTGCAGGAAACCTGGTTCATCTCAATTAGGAGTGCTTTTCATGCACTTTTTTCTCGATTCAGTGACATGTTTTTACAACAAAATACAATTTACCTGTTTGAATGTGTCTGTTGTGAGGTAAAATGTTAACACATAAAAATAACAACAATAAATACAGTCCGAAAACTACTAAATTAAACATAACTTATTCGAAAACACGCTAACTAGATGTTTTTGACAGCCTAATGGACGCTTTTGAAGCTAGCGCCCTCTGATTGGACAGTGCCCTCTGTGATGTGAGCGCTCAGCCAATGAGCGCTTTGTAAAAATAAACGTCACCGTGTTTACCCGGAAATGGCAGCGCAAGCGTTCCCTCTGGTTTAGCTGAAGATTGTTGTCGGTTTTTTTACGTTTTCGTGGAGAAATTATGAAATTTGGTGTAAAGTTCTGAGTCGGGATGTACAGCGGGCTCCTGCCGAAAGGTTTAACCGAAGAAGACCTGAGCTCAGACCCCGAGGAGGATGAGCGCGAGGAAAATAATGACGAGAAGAAGAAGGAGTCGAAGGAAGGGTTGAGCTGCTCCGTTAATGCTGATCATGATTCATCCCGTTTACCGGGAATATCGACGGAAACGTGGCAAGTATGTATAAAATACAGTTAGCTTCACTTAGCTTAGCATGCATGCTGTTTTAAAGCACTTACATAACTGCCGCCGGAAGTCGAGACGATATTGTTGTTGGTCGCGTCTGTTAGCGAAATATCTCATGAACTACTTGATGGAGTTGAATGAAACTTTTAGGATGTAATCACTAAATTTACACCTGCAGCTGATTAATGTTTGGAGCTAACCTGAATAAAATCGGCCGCCACAGCCTACTATTTCAATAAAACCTAAATATGTCTTTAAAACAGTCAGTTTCATGGATGTTTAGCTGAAATTAGGTGTGTTAGTACCTGAGAGTTATTCACAAAACATACTAAAAGTGCTTCTCATTTTGTGACGTCATTACTTTATATTTTAGAGTTAATTGTTGGCATCAATAGTGTTTGTCTGTTAGCAAAACATCTCATAAACTACTTGATGGAGTTGAATGAAACTTTTAGGATACAATCACTAAATTTACAACTGCAACTGTTTAATGTTTGGAGCTAACCTGAATAAAATCGGCCGCCACAGCCTACTATTTCAATAAAACCTAAATATGTCTTTAAAACAGTCAGTTTCATGAATATTTAGCTGAAATTAGGTGTGTTAGTACCTGAGAGTTATTCACAAAACATACTAAAAGTGCTTCTCATTTTGTGACGTCATTACTTTATATTTTAGAGTTAATTGTTGGCATCAATAGTGTTTGTCTGTTAGCAAAACATCTCACAAAACAAGATGGCTGCCACATCCAGCATGAAGTGGCTGCAGCTCAGTCAGTTCTGTAAATATCACCTAAAACAGCTACAACTCTGTCTTCAACACAAGATTTAGTATAAAACTGCTGCATTAAAGGCGGCGGGTGATATGCATTCCTTCAAGCCATGTTGTGTTTTTTTTTTTCCTGACGAACTGCTTCCATGAAGTCATTTCTTTGTGTTGCAGAAATTCCAGGAGCTCCGGAAGATGAAGGACGAACTGAAGGCAGAGAAGATCCACGAAAAAAGAAAGAGGAGACGTAAGAGAGGTAACGGCACGAAGATAAACTTTATTAAAAGTTTTTAAATTAAATTAAAACTATTTGAACCTAAAAAGTACTTTCTGTAATTCACAGGAAGAAAACGTGAGACGCCTGCAGAACCAAGGTACCAGCGAGGAGCAGGAAGTTTAATAAAATAGAGTTTGAGACTGTAAATAAGCAACATTTTTATACTACATGTCTAAAATATTCATATAAATCGAAACTGAAAGGTGTCCTGTTTATATAAATATTTTAGTGGAAAGTTATAAGCTTAGTTGTTCTTAAGAACATGTTTTTTATATACAGCTTAAAACATTGGTTCCTAAAGTTGGGGTTGGGATGACGAGAGATTTAAAGACGTATTAGTCTTTAAAATAAGCTGCTTTAAAGCCAGCACTGACCATAAACTACATCTCCCATAATGCATGTTGATTAATTTACCCACAAAATGACAGCATCCACCCACTGGCGCTGCTCAGTCTTTGAAAATAGTCACGTAAATTTTCCATTTTGGTGCGTATTTGTCGGCTACTTTTGGTGCAGCCTAGTTATACTGGGAAGTGGGAATTTCCCACTTACCAATTGTAAATTTAAACTGGAACACCCCTTCAGTGGGAATTCCCTGTTGGAAAGTGGGAGAGTTCAGAATTAAAGATGGTAGCTGCTCACCACAACTCATCAGTGAGTAAAACTCTTATTTTACGTTTATTAGTATTTCTGTTTTATTTCACATTTATTCAGTCGTACTCGTGGAACTGTCAGGGGATTCTGATGTTATCAGTCCATGAAATGGACGTTATTAGGCGTTATCAGTCCCATACAATGGCTTCAGAGGGTCCCTACTGTGCCTTCTAGGCTTCAGACTGTCCCGACAGTGACCCCTAGTGGTTTAAAATATCAATGACCATAAATGTGTAAATAACAAAAAGATATTGTAATAAATTTTTTGTGTTTGTGTCGGTCTCAAACCCTGGTCTCCCGCTCTCTGGTCCGACACTCTACCCATTGCCCTATTGGAAGGCAGCAATATAAAACCGTTGGGAGGACAGTCCCAAGGGGGGCCTTGTGGGGGGTTCTCCGGGAGTATGGGGTACCGGGCCCTTTGATACGGGCTGTCAGGTCCTTGTACAACCGGTGTCAGAGTCTGGTTCGCATTGCCGGCAGTAAGTCGGGCTTGTTTCCGGTGAGAGTTGGACTCCGCCAAGGCTGCCCTTTGTCACCGATTCTGTTCATTACTTTCATGGACAGAATTTCTAGGHGCAGCCGAGGTGTTGAGGGGATCCGTTTTGGTGGCCTTAGGATYGCATCTCTGCTTTTTGCGGATGATGTGGTCCTGTTGGCTTCATCGGAACGAGATCTGCAGCTCTCGCTGGAGCGGTTCGCGGCCGAGTGCGAAGCGGCCGGGATGAGGCTCAGTGCCTCCAAATCCGAGGCCATGGTCTTGAGCCGGAAAAGGGCAGAGTGCCTTCTCCGGGTCAGGGGGGTCGCCCTGTCTCAAGTGGAGGAGTTGAAGTATCTGGGGATCTTGTTCACGAATGGGGGAAGAAGGGAGCGGGAGATCGACAGGCGGATTGGCGCAGCGTCTGCTGTAAAGCGGGCGCTGTACCGGTCCGTCGTGGTGAAGAGAGAGCTGAGTCAGAAAGCGAAGCTCTCGATTTACCGGTCGATCTACGTTCCTACCCTCATCTATGGTCATGAGCTTTGGGTCATGACTGGAAGAACGAGGTCCCGGATACAAGCGGCCGAAATGGGTTTCCTCCGCAGGGTGGCTGGGCTCTCCCTTAGAGATAGGTTGAGAAGCTCGGTCATCCGGGAGGGACTCAGAGTAGAGCCGCTGCTCCTCCACGTCGAAAGGAACCAGTTGAGGTGGCTCAGGCATGTGGTAAGGATGCCTCCTGGACGCCTCCCTGGTGAGGTGTTCCGGGCACGTCCCACTGGGAGGAGGCCCCGAGGAAGACCCAGGACACGTTGGAGGGACTATGTCTCTCGGCTGGCCTGGGAACACCTTGGAGTTCCCCCGGAGGAGCTGGAAGAAGTGGCTGGGGAGAGGGAGGTCTGGGCCTCCCTTCTGAAGCTGCTGCCCCCGCGACCCGACCCCGGATAGGTGGAAGAGGATGGATGGATGGATGGATGGATGGATGGATGGATGGATGGATGGATGGAGGGCGGTGTCTTTAGCGCTAACCATGTCATTTGCTCTAAAGTTAAACTTAGTGGCTTTAAGCCTCATTAACCAGCCGACAATCAGAAGCCATTGTATGGGACGGGGAACCTGCTAACCAGCACAGTCGGGACGTTTTGAAACCATTCTAGGGGACTGATAACGTCTAATAATGTCCATTTCATGGATGATAACATCCGAAGCGGGTGAAACTGTTCAGTGTTTATAAGAGTAGGAGTTTAAACACTGTTTCTAAGCAGGAAACACCAGGTAGAGCTCAGTTAGTGTTTGTTAGTGGAGCTCAGGAATGTGATGTTTCCTGATTAGTGGAAGTTAAACTCCAACATTTTGACTCTTCAGGTGATTAAAATCAAAGTCCTGAGTTGTTGTTGGGCTGTAGAGAGGAGCTGATGGATGTCTCAGCCCGTTGGAGGCCGAAGCTCAAAGAACCAGACTCGGGTAGACCCAGGACTCTGCAGAGACCGTGTCAGCTGGTGTGTCTGTGGGAGCAGATGATTGATGTTCACTCAGAGGTAACACAAGTGTTTTGTTGTTTTCAGGAAGCAGGACGACAGAGAGAGGCACTGGAACCACCTGAAGCTCTACTTCAACGTCAACGATCGGTTCCTGCCCCCCGCCTGCTCCAGACCACCTCCTCAGGTAACAGAGCCCCCCTCCTGACTGGTCCCAGCTCTAATCCTGCTCCTGTCGTCTCCTCTTTATCTCATTGTTTCAGCTGATCTGACACCTGGATTACAGAGCAGAATATCAGAGATTAGGTTCAGCGACACGATGAGATTAGAGCCGATCTTCCTTCAGTTCAGCTTTTAACAGAAACACAAACGTAGCAGCCGACAGTGAACGCTTCAACAGATCACCTGTCAGAACGTTCAGCTGCTTCAGGACATTCCAGCTATGACTTCTGCTATCTCAGCTATTTATACTTTTTTTGTGTGTTTGTTTTTTTTATCTATTTCACTTTTTCGGCCACATTTTCCTCATTGAGAATGAATGAAGCTGTTTTCACCATCTTTAAAATCCTTCAAATGTTTCTAAAACTTTACAGAACCTAACAGCTTTTGTTCTGCTTCTGCTCTTTTTAACTTCCTTCTGCTAATTTTTGCTTCGTTTTTTCACTAATTTTAGCTTTTTTCTGCTATTTCAGATATAATTCTGCTTCTTTCTGCTGTTCTTCTGCTAATTTCTACTGTTTGTGTTTCTTTCTACTAATTTGATCGGTTTCTGCTTCTTACAGTGGCTTTCTGAAATATTCAGTTATTTGCTGCAATCTTAGCTAATGTTCAGCTGCTATTTTTTAGCTGATTTTGCTAATGAAGCTAAATTTTGGTGGTTATTTCAGCTTCTTTCTGCTTTGTTCAGAAAACTTGTGCTCCTTATGCTAATTTAGGAATTTCCAGCTAAATTTTAGCTGTTCTACTGCAGATTTTGGCTGTTTTAGCTATTTTACAACAATTGACCATTGTTTTGTACTTATACTAAACTTTTTTTTCACCCTTTTACCATCTGGGTGCTAATTTTACCTTGTGTCTTCTACCTTTAGCTTGTTTTTATGCTAATTTTAGCTTTTTCTGTTATTTCAGCTATCCTTGCTCCTTTCAGCTATTTTTCTGCTTAGTTAAACATTTTTCTGCTTCTTTCAACTTTTCAAAATGAACTCTCATTAACCGTTTTGCTGTGTAACATTTTCAGCTCCATTTCAGCAGCTTTCAGCTGAAGTTTTCAGCAATTAGCTTCACGTTAGCATTTCTGCAGGAAATGCAGTTTCCCCAGTTTGTGTTGAATTTGTAATTAAAATAAAGTGAAAGTTTCTTTTATTGGATGATGTTTCAGAACAAACGAGCCTTTTATGCGACAGCTGCCGAGTCTGTTTTAATTATTTGAGAGCATTTTGTGTCGAATTTATCTGAGGGCAAAAAGAAACGAGGAAGTTTCTGCTGATGATAGCCTTATTTTGAATTAAACTACGACCAGATGAAAGAAATAATTGAGAGAAGTCGTCACGTCGGGAAAATAAGCTGATCTTTTTAACTGGTTTATTATTTTAAATCTGGTCCGGTTCATCTGCTGACGGCTTCGCTTTAGCTGTTGCTTCAACTGAACCGACAGCAGAAAACTGCAGAAAACAGCCGATTATTTTACCAACATTAACTCAAATTAAACTTAAAGGAAGAGGGTAAACAATAAATAACAAATTAAAAACAAATTAACTGATTATTTCCTCACATTAACATTTAAAGCTGATTTCATCAAAGTTAGAAAAAATACAG